GTATCCGTAGGAGGAATAGTGCCCCACCATTGGTGTCTGTGGGAAGGAATAGTGCCCCATCCTTGGTGTCAGTGGGAGGAATAGTGCCCCACTTGGTGTCTGTGGGAGGAATAGTGCCCCATCCTTGGTGTCAGTGGGAGGAATAGTGCCCCTACATTGGTGTCAGTGGGAGGAATAGTGCCCTATCCTTGGTGTCCGTGGGAGGAATAGTGCCCTACCATTGGTGTCTGTGGGAGGAATAGTGCCCTACCATTGGTGTCTGTGGGAGGAATAGTGCCCTACCATTGGTGTCTGTGGGAGAAATAGTGCCCCATCCTTGCTGTCAGTGGGAGGAATAGTGCCCTATCCTTGGTGTCAATGGGAGTAGTAGTACCTCATTGTTGGTGTCAGTGGGAGGAATAGAGCCCCATCCTTGGTGTCAATGGGAGTAGTAGTACCTCATTGTTGGTGTCATTGGGAGGAATAGTGCCCCAAGGGCCAGATAAAAGCAAGTAAAGGGCCACATATGGCCCCCAGGCCACAGTTTGGAGACCACTACTCTAGGGACTTAAAAATAAATAATGTTTGGGGGTTCTAAGTAATTTTCTAGCATAAAAATGCTGATTTTTACGTGTATGTATGAATTGTCAGAATTGGCCCGGTATTGAAGTAGTTGAATTGAAGACAGCTTCACAATATTCACAAAGCTAAGTAAATATTCACTTTGCAAAGTGAATATGCTTCCCCGTCTTTTGAAAATAAATCCCACTATATCCTGTCCATGATTATTTGGTTTCATCAGGTTTTCTCCCACCATATGAAGACATACAAATTGGCTTCCACCCAGAACTAACCCTATGCTGTATATACTGGGTAAGTGCATTCATACCGGCATCTGTTGAAATTGTATACTGCGCTGAGCATGCAGAAAGCAAACAGGCAAGCAAGAATTCTTTACTGCAGAAGACACATAGTATTCTCTTCAACAATAAAATCCTGTTTGCTGTGCCCCCTGTCCTCCTTCATCCAGAGTGGGGGAACTCTAATACAGGAGGTGTGTTACTGGCCAGATCACTAGATGACAACAGAGGGAGAAAAAAGCCTAAAAAAAGAAAATGAATGCAGCTACCACATCTAAGGATTGGTAAACTGCAATATATTACATTTTTTGTTTTCAGTTTAATAACACTTTAATGCATTGGGGTGCTGTTTAAAATGAATGGCTCCCCAATTCATCAACGCATGTAACACGAGTTGCAGTAATGCATATATGTTAGTCTGCCCTAACCTGTCCGTCATGTATATTCTCTGTGAACTTCATTCAATTTTGAAGCATTGGGAATTATTTCCATATTATCTCCCTACATTTTTTTTTCAAGAACAGAGGATCAGAAATATTCCTCCAGCAAGTGTTTTCTATACCAAAAACAAAGTGACAGGATATGATTACAGTATACATAATGATCTTTATTGCATTGAGTCACATTGAGTATAGAGGGAAGAAGAAGAAGCAGCACATGTGCAGATAGAAGGTCTTGTCCTCCGCACTCAGCCCGGCCTATCACATAGCACACGGTGTACAGGACGTGTCACGGGTCACAGGAAGTCAGATCACTGACACAGGAAATCCCATTGCTGGAAAAAAATAACACATGAGATACAAAGCATACATCACAGATCATTTCCTCTAGGTTGAAGATCAGAGCTATTTCCTGGTGTTACAACTCACATTGCTCATGGTCCCCAACAGACCTTACTGGATATCTAGAGTCAAAACTTTTTCTTTTACTTTTATTTTGAATAGAGTAGGGAGGGTTAAAAAGAAGTTGCCAGCAAGAATATATGCCCAACAATACCTTGACACTCCTCACCGGGCTCTTTTGTGGCATTGGCGCAGTAAAGGCTTCTTTCTGACAACTCAACCATGCAGCTCATTTTGTTCAAGTATCATCGTATTGTGCTCCTTGAAACAACCACGTTGTCTTTTTCCAGAGCAGTCTGTATTTCTCCTGAGGTTAACTGTGGATTTTTCTTTGTATCCTGAACAATTATTCTGGCAGTTGTGGCTGCAATCTAACTTGGTCTACGTGACCTTGGCTTAGTATCTCCAAATTTTCCACTTCTTAATAAGTGATTGAACAGTACTGACTGGCATATTCAAGGCTTTGGATATCTTTTTGTGTCCTTTTCCATCTTTATAAAGTTCCATAACCTTGTTATGCAGGTCTTTTGACAGTTCTTTTCTGCTCCCCATGACTCAGTATCTAGCCTGCTCAGTGCGTCCATGTGAGAGCTAACAAACTCATTGACTAGTTGTACACAGACACTAATTGAAATTTAACGGCTTACCTGCCGCCGTATGGCAGATATATATGCTACATGGTGGCATGCGCGGGTGCGCAAATGTCAATTACTGGGTCCCAGCCGGTTGCCCGCTGGTGCCCGGTGATTACCAACAATCACCGATGGGGAGGAAGACTGTTTTGTTTACAAACAGTCTTCCTCCCTATCAGCTCAGGCACACTGCTCGGGATGTCTGTGCACATGTGAGACAAGTGTGTTTACAGTGAAGAACACACCCTCCGCCCCCTAGTAAAAAATACTCTCAGCACACAGTTAACCCTTTGATTGCCCCTCACATTAACCCCTTCCTGCCCAGTGCCATTAGCACAGTGTCTGTGCTTTTTTTTAGCACTGATCAATGTATTGGTGTCACTGGGGATGTCAGTGACATCAAGTTAGTTCCCCCCCCAGTGTCAGAATGCCCGCCATAGTCCTGCAGTCCCGCTAAAAGTTGCTGATCGCCGCCATTACTAGCAGGAAAAAAAAAATCCCATTATCTATACTGCCATTAGTAAACGCTATAACTTTCACGTAAACCAGTTAATTTACACGTATTGGGATTATTTTTTAGTAAAGACATGTCGCAGAATACATTTTGGCCGAAATTTATGACGAAATTTGATTTTTCTTATTTTTTTACTGGACATGTTTAATAGCAAAAAGTCCAAAATATTGTATTTTTCTCAAAATTGTCGGTCTTTTTTTGCTTATAGCGCAAAAAATAAAAACCGCACAGGTGATCAAATACCAATTAAAGAAAGCTCAATTTGTGGGAAAAAAAGGATGGAAATTTCATTTGGGTGCAGCATTGCATGACCGCGCAGTTGTCAGTTAAAGTAACGCAGCGCCGTATAGCAAACAATGGTCTGGTCAGGAAGGGGGGTAAATACTCTGGAGGGCAAGTGGTTAAAAAGCTACAGATGTGGGAAATTAACCTTTAATTTGAACCTATGTGTCACCTTGTGTGTCTGTACAAACATCCCAGGGATGGAAACTTTTGATCAGGGCCATTTGGATGGTATTTGTTATCATTATGATTTAACCTCCCTAGCGGTCTGATTATGTCAGTATTTCTGTGCTCTCAAAGCGGTACATTTTTTTTGCATGTACGGTAAATATGTATTTTTTTTTATTGTAGGCCTGTACTTTTTAGGAATAACTCACTGAAATCTGTCCGAACAAGAGTCTAGTAAACATCCCGTGTAGGATAAAATTTGAAAAACAAAATCATAAATTGTAATATAATAAATAATCATAAAAAATAATAATATAATAATAAATTTAATTCAATAATATAATCAAACCAAAAACACTGAAGTTTGAAATATAGCGCCAAGTTCGCACATCGCTGAGCAAAGTCGCAAAATCGTTTTCAGTGTCTGATGACGAATTTCCCCACGAATCATTATCACTCAATTCTGCAAGTAGTTCTGATTTACTATCGCTGTTCTCTAGCCGGTCTAAAACCGCTTTTGACCTAAACTCCCAACACTTAAAGTGGACCTTGACAATACACTTCATTCTAGTGATGTCCCCTCATCCCCCCCTACATTATAAGGTGAGGCGAGAATGGTGTCTCCTCCGCTCCTGAAGCCTCCTGAGATATGCCTGTTACACATTCCAGTAGGCATCGACTTTCATACACCACCTGGGGGAGGATGGACCTGTGGCTGGAGGGGGTCGGACCTGAAGGTACGTCATCAGGGGACCAGCTGCCTAAACAAGTCAACTACTGATGAAGTCACAGAGGAAGATGGTGGTGTGGGACTCATCTTGCATCTGCAGATTGATGGATCACAGATGGACAGCGCTGGGCGGGTCTGTTTTTGTGGATAACCAAACTAAAAAGGTAAGAGGGGATTCAAAAAATAACATGGAGGAGTGAAGTTGCTTTTTAACACTTTTCTACCTAAAATCAGAATGAAACTACAGTCTGCTCTTTTTCTTGCAAACTTTGAAATTATGCTTTTTCTTGTCCCTTTGAGATGATGCTGAGAAATGCTGAGAGCCTGTCCATTTGTTTATTAAAGTGGTTGTAAACCCTTACATATACCCAGTGAAGTGACTGGTCTCAGATGATACACAGATGAAACAAATCCTCCTACATAAGTTGTACCTGTCTATCTGCAGTCTTCTCTTCTCTACAGCCCTCCAATGTGCTGAAATTATAAAGCTTGTACAGCCGTCAAAAAAAGGGGGCGGAGTGCTAAAATTACTCACTGCAGAGTTCAGTGAGGAGAGCTGATTGGAGGGAAGACATACATCCCCCTCCACACAGCTCACTGAGGCTTTCAATCCGCTGGAGGTCCCTTCCCTGTCACCATTTTTCTCTTGGTGTCAGGAGAACCTGTCAAAAGTGACTGATGCTGATAGCAGAGGAACAAAGCAGTAGACATAAATGACACTCAGTGCTCTGGATTGAGTACACAGTATAGAGGGATATGCTTTGTTCATATTTCATGTCTGAGGTTTAAGTCTCTCATCAGGACTGAAAATGATGACACATCCAACATTTTCAAGCTGTCTCCAAGCCAGGAGGACAGGAGAACTCTTTCATTGGTGAAACTGTTTATGGTGATAACTCTCTAAGCTGGAATTTCCTGTCACTTTGGGAAGATTTCCTCTGACTTCCTGTTGTGTCTCCAGGCTATAAACTGTTAAAGAAGTTAACGAACATCTTAACAATACTTTGGACAGTCTTGTAGTTTTTGGCATTGCCCAGTTTCAGAAGAAATATAACTCACGTTTGTTTTGACTTCCACTTTTCCCGGCATCAGATAATGTTCCTCTTGTACGATAGAGCTGGGAAAATAACCCAGTTTTGCTGTATACTCCCCATATTCATCTCCTTGTACCTGTAGAATACAGCACAGGTGAGACTCCACTCTTCTTATTTGTATAAATCAGCCATTCTCAACCATGGTTCCTCCAGATGTTGCTAGGAGTCCCCTGCACTGTGGATGATTGATCTTCTATCTGATGGTGCCTACATAGATCTAGGGTCAACACCACCTGGCAAAGTCAACTGCGTGACTCCAACTATTGTTTTAGCTGTCCTAATGGGTGGCATTCTTCCCACTGGCTACCAAAGTGAGGGGCATTTTTCCCACTGACCATTAATGAATTGGCTTTTGTAAGAGTTCCCGAAGACTTGGAACTTATTTTAAGGGTTCCTCTGGTGGAGAAAGGTTGAGAAAGGCTGGTATATATTGTAGTAGAGCAGTGATACTCACGCTGCCCAGCCAGAAAAGGCGTCCTCGGCCCTTCAGCTTGGAGTAGTAGATATACAGCGTTTGTCCCTGTCTAATTGGGATGAAGCGGCAGTCTGGGGGGGTGTAGTCAGACAGAGCTACCGCAACAGAAATAGGATCTGTCAAAGGGAGAATAAAGTCATGAGCTGAAATACAAGCAGTACACAATGATGGCTTATAGTGGGAAGTATGAGAAAAGTATGAATCTCAGAGCTCTAAGAATGGTTTGTTCAAGACTATTGCTCCTGTCTTTGAAAAATGGTTGGCATTGGCTGCAAGGCCATTTCCAAGTTGCAGCCCTTGGATTTGCCCCACGACATGTATACTGGTTACCTGGTTGTCTTTGGCCTCAATACTTTCAGTTACTGACCCAAAACAGATACTGTTTGCTGAAGATGAACTTCTAATTTGATTACTTTTGATTTGATTACTTTTTCCAGGTCAATTCCACACAAATACAGAGACCATTGGACCAGCATGGAAACCAGGCCACTTACATTTTAGTAGAAGAGGTAAGCATTACATATTCCCTCAGTACCGGCTTAATTGAGTTTAGTATCAGCTTAGGGTTTAGCACATGACCTGAGCAGGAGAAGCTGTACCTGTAGAAGTGGTCATCAATATTGCTTGTGATCATCCTTAACCCAATATTAAAGGCTATAATTTTTTTAGGTTAAATAAAAAAAGTTATATTTACCTGTTCTGTGCAACGTTATTACACAGAGCAGCCTCTTACCTCCAGTTTGGGAGGTCCCAGCTGGTGCTGTCCGCTCCTCCTTCCTGCGGATGGCCCCTTAGCATGCCATGTGCTAAGGGGGCACCCATGCACACGTTCCCCAGCCAGGCTGTGTGCATCCATAGGCACACATAGCAAGGTTCAGCCATGCCTCTCCCTCCTCACAGGATTTGACTGACACCATGGCTGACCTATGGCTCTCTCTTCATGTTCTCATAGGAGGCATTGCTGCAGCCAGGACAGCGCTGGATCAGTGGAGGAGCCACATAATTGTTTTTGGAGGAAGGGGATGCATTATGGTAAAAATTGTTTTGACTTTAGAACTACTTTAGCCACTGGAGCTCTGGAAGATTTTACCCCAGGCAATTTTTTGCTATAGCACACTGCGCTACTTTAACTGGTAATTGGGCAGTTATTCAAAGATGTACTCAAATTAAATTTATATCTTTTTTTCACACAAACATGGCTTTCTTTTGTTGGTATTTGATCACCACTGGGTTTTTTTGCAAAATAAATGAAAAAATACAGAAATTGTTTATAAAACATATCCAATAAAAGAAAAGAAAAAAAAGAGTAATTTCTTCTTAAATGTTTGCCAAAATGTATTTTTTATCTTTGATATAAAAACAATCCCAATACATGAATATTAATTGGTTTGTGTGAAAGTTAGAGTACCCACAAATTATGGTATATTTAGTGGAATTTTAATTGTTTTTTTAATTTTTAAATACTACTTATGGCGGTGACCAGTGACTTACGAGACTCTATTTTATTAAAACATATATAGTGGCAACTCACATAGTTACATAATTACATAGTTAGTCTGGCTCAAAAAAGACAAAAGTCCATCCAGTTCAACCATTAAAAAAAAAAAAAGTTATAATCCTATACCACAGTTGATCCAGAGGAAGGCAAAAAATATTATTTACATTTATAGAGGTGAGCAGTGCTTACTTGTGGGCAGACAAAAGAGAAAGAAGGTGCTACTACCGACTAAGAATCCATACCAGCGACTAGGCAGGTGCATGATCCACAGTTGCTCAGCTGTTGAAAGTCTCAGTGAAAAGGTTGATCCGCATTTCTGCCACTGCACTAAAATCTTCCATTATTGTATCGACCACAAAAAATTACATAAAAAATACAGGTTGACGCGTTTCGGCTACACTGTCTTAGTCATAACCCTCCGGGGTGCTTACTACAGTGATTTTCACCTTCCGTGGGGTTAAATTAGGTATGGCACATGCATACATTACATTGTCAAAGCTGAACCAATGTAAGTATGCTTACCTGGAATCCAGCTTTGAGGACCAGTTCACACCACATGCAGTCCAGTGTGTTTTTTCTCTACATCAAAAAGCATGGAACGTAGGTTGTATGGTTTGCAATGGCATAGTTCACACCAGTACGGTCAGATCCAATGCGTTCCAGTTCCAGTATAACACGCTGCATTTTTCCAGCACTGGACTGTACTGGTAAAATGTATCAAAAACACATTAAAATTGCAATGGACCCAGTCTATCATGAATGCTGCTGCCAGACTCATCCACCTTACCAACCATTCCAGGTCCTCTATCCCTCTCTCATAATCCCTCCACTGGCTTCCCATTGCCCAATGAGTAAAATGCAAAACAGTACCAATAACATATAAAGCCATTTACAACTCTGTCTCCAATTACATCACCAAACTTGTCTCCAAACATCACCCAAACCGTCCTCTCCGCGCCTCCCATGACCTCCTGCTTTCTAGCTCCCTTGTTTCCTTCTCCCATGCTCATCTCCAAGACTTCTCCAGGACCTCCCCCACCCTCTGGAACCAGAGGCGGACTGACAACTCATAGGGCCAACGGGCAATAGGGGACCATGGGGCCCTTGTGTCCTTGCCCAAACTCAAAAAAGCCTATGAAAATGGTACCAGGGGCATCTCACGGGGCCCCCTACTGACCCCGGGCCCTCGGGAAGTGCCCGAGTTTCCAAATGGTCAGTCTGCCCCTGTCTGGAACTCTCTACCCCAATCTATCTGACTATTGCCTACTCTGCCCACTTTTAGGCGATCTCTGAAAAACAATCTCTTCAGGGAAGCCTATCCTGCCTTCAGCTAATAATGGAATCTTCTACTCCTCCTACCAGTTCATCCCCCACAGTTATTACCTTTTGTACCACCAGCCCCTCCCTCTTAGATTGTAAGCTCCAAGGAGCAGGGCCCTCCTAACCCTCTTGTATTGAACTGAATTATTGCTGTATTGTCTCCCGTTATATTGTAAAGCGCTGAGCAAACTGTTGGTGCAATATAAATCCTGTATAATAATAATAATTGGACCCCAGTATAGAGAAAAAAAAAACAGGAAAAAGAACAAAAAAAAAGGATTTGGAATGCATCCGGAAATGAATCAAAAGTGCAACAGTAACCACACTGGAACGCATCAGAACGTGTTCAAAACCTGCATGCAGTAATGGATCTGGAGTGCGAACCAGGCCTAAAGGTGCCCATAGACTTGAAGGCTCTCAGACATGCAGGATCTGACCACTCTCACACTTCTCTGTCTGGCAGGTGCTCCACCAACTGAGCGCACACACATTTATGTGAACAGAAAGGGATGCACTATTGGTGTACATTGGTAAGTAGAGTGTAGCGATTGGACAAGATTTGCAGATCTGTCCATGCAATCACTTCTCTGCAAGTCAGGTTTTTGGTACTGTCATAGGGATGGAATTGCCTCCTGATCTGGCAGCTTAAGAAAAAAAAAAAAAGGGGGGGGGTGGGGGGACAAGCATAGACATTTGACAGGTATATCATATACCACATATATGATCATTAATATGCAGCTAATTGCAGAACGCCATACTTACGACTGCACTCTTCATCCGCACACAACTTCCTTTCCGCCAGCTTTGGCATTTTTCTGCTTCCTCCGGTAAGTCCAAACAGGACGCAAAGCAACAGACATGACAGCCTCAGATGCATGCTTCTCTCCCTTACCTCTGGATACTGCAAGCCTGGCCTCTGCACCCAACACCAGCACTAAAGAGCAGAGCAGAAAAGCTGCTTCAAGTCACCTCCCCACTGGATTTTTTTTTTTTTAACATTCCAAACATACAACTTGGAAGAGTGGACACAGCTGGGCTTAGAGGGAAAAAATTCCGCTGTTAGGTGAAAAAAAAAAAAACCTTTTCCTGTGTAAATAATCAGGTTTATTCATCGAGGTACCGGAAACAGCAATGGCGGTGTGCAAAGTGCCGCAACACAGAGCTTTCAGGTCACTATAGTCAGTACAGGCTGGTTCACACCATAGAAACGCAGTCTGGATGCGTTCCGGATATGTTTCTGTATGCATGTTTTTTATGTGTTCCAGTGCATTTTTTACATGTTTTTGATGCGTTTCAGTACGTTTTTTTGATGCGTTACGGTTCATTTCCCCCCCCCCCCTCTCTTTGGGCCAGTTCACACCACATGCAGTCCTGTGCGTTTTTTTTTTTCTGCATCTACGCATTTTTTTTTTTTGCATCAACGCATTGACAGTAGGTTACATGGTTTCCATTGGCATAGTTCACATCAGTGTGTTCCAGTTTCAGAAAAAAAAGTAGAACACGCTGCAAAAACGCAGCAGAATGCACATGTCCTTACTTAAGTTGAAGAAAAAGAGAGGGGAAAAAATTAACTGGAATGCATAAAAAATACACCGGAACGCATCAAAAATGCATAGAAAAACTAATAAAAAGGCGCATACAGAAATGAATGTGGAATACATCCAGACTGTGTTTATATGGTGCAGGGGCGGATTGACAACTCATGGGGCCCCCGGGCAATAGGGGATCACTGGCCCCTGTGTCCTTGCCCACACTCAAAAAAGGTACCAGGGGCATTTCATGGGGTCCCCTAACAGTTCTCGAACAGTCCGCCCCTGATGTGGTGTGAACTGGCCCTTTTTCTTACATAAATAAGGTCGAGAGTTTGTTCCAGTGCGTTTTTTGGTGCATTCCGGTGTGTTTTTGGAAATGTAAGTTTTTTGATTGCGTTTTACTGCGTTCCAGTACAGTTCAGTGCAGAAAAAATGTAGCATGTTCTGCTTTTTTTCTTAAACTGGCACTGGAAGCACTGGTGTGAACTTGCCATTGCATGTTACTATCAATGTGTTAACTTGAATGCAGAAAAAAAAAGCACTGGACTGCATGTGGTGTGTACTCACTGGCCCTAAGCTGACATCCAGATTGGTACAAGCTGTGGGTTACAGCACTTTGCCAAATGGCCAGCGTTGTTGCACTTACTAAGCATTCATCTTATGTAGAGTTTATGTAATGTACTTAAAGCAGTATTACACTTAAAAGCAAACATGATATCACAGCTGATAAATGTGAAAAGCTCCATGTCAAAGATATAATAAATAATTATGCAGCTGCAGTCCTTACACTCACTATGGAGTGCACAAAGAAACAATGTAGGGGTTATGTACTAAAACTGGAGAGTGCAAAATCTGGTGCAGCTCTGCAGAGTAACCAATCAGCTTCCAGGATTTTATTGTCAAAGCTTAACCGAACACGCTGAAGATAGAAGCCTATTGGCTACCATGCACAGCTGCACAAGATTTTGCTCACGCAACTTTTAGTAAATCTACCACAATGTGTATGATTGCACTCAAATTCTCATCTAAAACAAGATGTTAAAATTATACTATATAAAAGGTATCAACAAAATATTCACTTTCAAAATATTGTGCAACTCAGTTCATAAACAATGTGTCCATAATAATTATTAAATCCCAAATAAACAAAGTCTTTAAAGTGTTCCTAAACCCACAACAGTAAAATCAGTCTGTATATGCAGTAAAGCATGCTTGTTATACTCACTGTGGAACCTAAGGGGTTAATCCTCTGCATTGTGTAAAAAGGCTGTTTTTTTTTCTGATCCTCCCCTTCTTCCACAGTTCCATTCATCTGCTGATAGTACAGAGCCCTAGGAGGCACTCTGCACTTACTCAGTTTGCTGTGTATTGCTAGAGAGGGAGGTTTTTTGGGGGGGAGAGGGTTGATTAGCACAGGGCCAAACAGTGCTGTCAGGACACAGGGTCAGGGGTCATGCAGCCTCATAGGAGAGTCAGAGGAGAATGAAAACTCCTTCTACAAGCCTAAATCATTGCTCCGCTGGACACTGACAGAAGTCACAAGACTGCTATATACAGCTGATGAGAAAAGGCATTTAGAAGTTTATATTTACTAAAATATTTGGATTTCCATGTTCTGTGTACTGTGGGAGACCAGATATAGTGAATTCAGGGTTCGGGGAGACCAGATATAAAGAATGCAGGGTCCAGGGAGACCAGATATAGTGAATGCAGGGTCCTGGGAGACCAGCTATAGTGAATGCAGGGACCGGGGAGACCAGATATAGTGAATGCAGGGTCCGGGGGAGACCAGATATAGTGAATGCAGGGTCCGGGGAGAGCAGATATAGTGAATGCAGGGTCCTGGGAGACCAGCTATAGTGAATGCAGGGACCGGGGAGACCAGATATAGTGAATGCGGGGTCCTGGGAGAGCAGATATAGTGAATGCAGGGTCCGGGGAGAGCAGATATAGTGAATGTAGGGTCCAGGGAGACCAGATATAGTGAATGCAGGGTCCTGGGAGACCAGCTATAGTGAATGCAGGGACCGGGGAGACCAGATATAGTGAATGCAGGGTCTGGGGGGGGGAGACCAGATATAGTGAATGCAGGGTCCTGGGAGACCAGATATAGTGAATGCAGGGTCCGGGGAGACCAGATATAGTGAATGCGGGGTCCTGGGAGACCAGATATAGTGAATGCAGGGTCCTGGGAGACCGGATATAGTGATATAACGCAGGGTCCTGGGGAGACCGGATATAGTGAATGCAGGGTCCTGGGAGGGCAGATATAGTGAGTGCAGGGTCCAGGGGAAGCAGATATAGTGAATGCAGGGTCCTGGGTTAAGTAACACTTTTATGCAATGTGATGCAGGGTTTTTTTGTACAAATGTATTTCACTATATATATATATATATATATATATATATATATATATATATTTTTTTTTTTTTGTTAATCTTATTATTTATTTATTTTTAGCACATATTTCACCTGATTGTGAAAATATGTGCAAAACAAATTTCATCAGGTGAAATATGTGGAAAAAAAAAAAAGATATATATAGTGAAATAAATTTGTGCAAAAAAATCACATTGCATAAAAGTGTGATGTCAAAGCACCCAGTGTCCTTCACCTCTTCAAGTAAATGGCTCACCTCTTTCAACACAACTTAAAATACAAAGTAAAAATGAGTTCCTTTAAATAAGGATGTGCATTCTGGTGCGTTTAGGTGCATCTTTGATGCCTTTTACCACATTCCAGTACAGCCGTGGCCAAAAGTTTTGAGAATGACACAATATTAGTTTTCACAAAGTCTGCTGCCTCAGTGTTTTTAGATCTTTTTGTCAGATGTTCCTATGGTATACTGAAGTAGAATTACAAGCATTTCAGAAGTGTCAAAGGCTTTTACTGACCATTACATTATGTGAATGCAAAGTCAATATTCGCAGTGTTGACCCTTTTTCAAGACCTCTGCAATTCGCTCTGGCATGTTGTCAATCAACTGGCCACATCCTGATTGATAGCAGCCCATTCTTGCATAATCAATGCTTGGAGTTTGTCAGAATTTTTCGGTTTTTTTTTGTTCACCTGCCTCTTGAGGATTGACCACAAGTTCTCAATACGATTAAGGTCTGGGGAATTTCCTAGTTATGGACCCAAAATTTCGATGTTTTGTCCCCAAGCCTCCTAGTTATCACTGTTGCCTTATGGAAAGGTGCTCCATCTTGTTGGAAAAGACATTGTTCATCACCAAACTGTTCTTGGATGGTTGGGAGAAGTTGATCTCGGAGGATGTTTTGTATCATTATTCATGGCTGTGCTCTTAGGCAAAATTGTGAGTGAGCCCACTCCCTTGCCTGAGACTAAGAAGCAACCTCACACATGAATGAATGGTCTCAGGATGCTTTACTGTTGGCATGACACAGGACTGATGGTAGCGCTCACCTTTTCTTCTCCGGACAAGGTTTTTTCCGGATGCATCAAACAATTGGAAAGGGGATTTAACAGAGAAATTGACTTTACCCCAGTCCTCAGCAGTCCAATCCCTGTTCTTTTTTTCCAGGCCCAGGCATTTTAGACTGAGCAGCCAATTTCCAGGTGGGGGGGGGGGGGGTTGGACTATTCACGGAGTCGGTCCTCCGCACTGTAATATAAAGGGGGCACTGTGATATAAAGGGGCAGTGTATTGATTACAGTGCCCTTTACTGTGCAGTTCCCTTTATATCACAGTGCCCCCTATATATTCAAAGAGATGGCCCAATCAAAGAGACATCCCCATATAGCAAAGACGGGATGTCTCTTTGCTGGACCTAACTGGGCAAAGAGATAGCCCAGTCTAGCAAAGAGACAGCCCGCACCCATCAAAGAGACATCCCCATATAGCAAAGAAGGAATGCCTCTTTGCTGGATGGGGATGTCCCTTCTTGGACTGGGCTGTCTCTTTGCTGGATTGGCATGTCTTTGCTGGACCCAAATGGGCAAAGAGACAGCCCAGTCCAGCAAAGAGACAGCTCGTCCAGCAAAGAGACAGCCCATCCAGCAAAGAGACAGCTCATCCAGCAGAGACAGCCAGTCCCGCAGACACAACCCGTCCAGCAAAAAGACAGCTCATCCAGCAAAGAGACAGCCCCTCCAGCAAAGAGACAGCTTATCCAGCAGAGACAGCTCCTCGAGCAAAGAAACACCTCATCCAGCAAACAGACAGCCCCCTCCAGCAAAGAGATAGCTCATTCAGCATAAACAGCTCATCCAGCAAAGAAACAGCCTATCCAGCAAAGAAACAGCTCATCCAGCAAAGAAACAGCTCATCCAGCAAAGAGACAGCCCATCCAGCAAAGAGATAGCTCATTCAGCATAAACAGCTCATCCAGCAAAGAAACAGCCTATCCAGCAGAGACAGGTCATCCAGCAAAAAATACAGCTCATCCAACAAAGAGACAGCCCCTCCAGCAAAGAGACAGCTCCTCCAGCAGAGACAGCCTCATCTACCACCACTACAACCTGTCACAGTGTGCTGGAGGGTGAAGAGAGGCCGCTGTTCTCCCTTCAGTGCAGTGGCCGGCCGAGGGGATGTCCCTCTGTCAGTGATGCTTCCTGCTTGTCTTCAGAAGCTCTCACTGCCGCTCCTCCTTTCGGCCCTGCTTTGGGCATAGTCGCACAGCGGGAGGTGAGCGGCAGCTGCGGTCTGTATCAACCCCGTCCAGACCACGGTCGCCACTTACCTCCCGCTGTGCAGCCCGGTCATCTTAAACCTGGCGGCCCTGAGCCTCCACGCAAATGCTATGTGTGCCCTATGGCCAGTCTGGACCTGCCTTTTGCAGAATATCAGTCTGTCCCTGATGTGTTTCCTGGGGAGAAGTGGCTTCTTTGCTGCCCTTCTTTACACCAGGACATCTTTCAAAAGTCTTCACCTCACTGTGCATGCTGATGCACTTACACCTGCCTGCTGCCATTCCTGAGCAAGCTCTGCACTGGTGGTACCCGATCCTGTAGCTTAATCAACTTTATTAGACAGCCCTGCACTTGCTGGACATTATTGGGTGCCCTGAAGCCTTCTGCACAACAATTGAACCTCTCTCCTTGAAAGTTTTGATGATCCGATAAATGGTTGATTTAGGTGCAATCTTAGTAGCAGCAATATCCTTCCCTGTGAATCCCTTTTTGTGCAAGGCAGTGATGACTGCAAGTGTTTCCTTGCAAGTAACCAATGGTTAACAGAGGAAGAACAATGATTTCAAGCACCACCCTCCTTTTAAAGCTTCCAGTCTGTTATTCTAACTCAATCAGCATGACAGAGTGATCTCCAGCCTTGTCCTCATCAACACTGACACCTGTGTTAATGAGAGAATCACTGACAAGATGTTAGCTGGTCCTTTTGTGGCAAAGCTGAAATGCAGTGGAAATGTTTTTTTTTTGGGGATCAAGTTGATTTTCACGGCAGAGAGGGAGTTTGCATTTCATCTGATCACTCTCCATAACATTCTGGAGTATATGCAAAGCGCCATTATAAAAACTGAGGCAGCAGACTTCGTGAAAAATATTTGTGTCATTCTCAAAACCTTTGGTCATGGCTGTACAGTCCAGTGCAGAAAAGATGCAGCATGTTCTTTTTTTTTCCCCCTGGATTTGGAAGGCACTGGTATGAGCTGTGATAAAAAAAAAAAAAAACCCTGACAGATCTCCGCATCCACACAAGCGGTGTGGATGCAGAGATCTCCCCACACGGTGCTATTGTATGCCGACAGCAGGGACTCTCCCCACCAGAATACACAGATCAGCGCTGCAGCCATTGGCTGTGCTGATCAAATGCTGGTTTTCCAGAATGACTGACAGAAGTGGGTTGTTAGGCTGGCTTCTGTTGAACAGAGAGGTACAAGCCCTGATTCCTGGTGAACTGGCCAAATTTCAGAAGTGTGTACCTGCCTTAAGAATTGGAATGAAGGGGGTAGGATGCTACCATTATGGGGCACTCATAGTCTACCTAGTCATATACGGACAAGATCTTTTAGAAAATCCCTGCACGCCAAGTGTAACCTGCTGTCAAATACTTTCCTTCCCCCTCATTTTTTTGCTATGCATTCTTCCAAGACCCTTCCTTCAAAAATTTCCCCAAAAACTCTTCATAGCACACATGCAGGGTTCACAGAGAGGTTTGGAGGGATTTTTGTTTTTTTCAAAAAAGGTAACTATAGTGTATTTCAGAAAGTATGTTTGTTAGAATTGTAACGTTTACCTGGAAGTAATGTTTGCTGTTTTCATGAGGGCCCATCCTAAACATATTAGTAGACTCTCCTGCTAGTGGCCTCCATGTACACAAAGTGAGCAGTGTACCTCTGTATATGTACAGCCAGCCTGACTACAAAGACGGGCCTGTGTGGTCTGCAAATTAACCTTCTTAAGCAGTTACATTACGTGCCACATCTGAATCCCCTCTAAAAGTGGTGTGGTAGGGCAGATCCTGGATATTAAGACATTTTAAGGATTTCAGAAAAGGCATTTAAAACATTCTTTTAAAATAACGTTTTACTTACCTGCTCTGTGCAATAGTTTTGCGTAGAAACCCAATCCTCTTCTTGGGTCCCCTGCCGCCATCCCCCCTGCTGATTGCCCCCCAGAGCAAGCCGCCACCTCTGAAGGCACTCATACATGCTCGCTTCCGAGCCCCACTTCCCTCTTTGGCCTCAGTGGCTGTCACTGTGCCCGTTGCTGTCTCAGCAAATGAGGAGGTAGAGACCAGGAGAGCATTTGCTCTTGTGCACATCGCTAGATCAGGCGAGGGTAAGGAGAAGGGTAGTTTGGGGCTCTAAACATGGGAGGTGTTTTCAAAGAATGCATGAAGGTTAAAAAAACAAAAACCCTATAGCTTTTGAACCACTTTAACACCACATGCACACTTGTGGGACTCTGGACTTCAAAAGGTGCATGATAAGGCGTACCCCATGTTTTCCAATGATAACTATATATAAGTTGAAGCAAACTAGTTCATGCACTACTTTGGTCTGACTTTCATGGAACTTGAAGGCCATAGACTTCAATGTTTAACCACTTGCCAACCGCGCTATAGCCGAACGATGGCTAGTGTGGTTGTCCAGTTCTGGGAGGGCGCCATATGACGTCCTCCCAGAACACACCCCCAGCACTCTCCGTGATCACAGCAGCCTTTTACCACGTGATCAGCTGTGTCCAATGACACGAGATCACATTGTAAATAAAGTTGCAGGTTATCGGCTGCACTTTCCTCACGCTGTCACAGCATGATGAAAGTACTGCCAATAATCAGTAAATGACACAGAGGACATCTGCACTGATCATTTGGGCACTAATGATCAGTGCCCAGCAGTTTCGCCATCAGTCAGCACCACCTATCAGTGCCCATCAGTGCAGCATCACCAGTGCCACGCATCAGTGCAGCCTCATTGTCGCACATCAGTGGAGAAAAATTACCGGTTTTAAAAAAATTTAATAGAAAAAGCACTTTTTTTTAATCTTCAAACTTTTTGCACTTTTTTTTGGTTGTAGTGCAAATAATAAACACCTAGTAGCGATAAAATATCACCAAAAGAAAGCTCTATTTGTGTGAAAAAAGATCATATGGGTGCAGTGTTGCATGACCGTGCAATTCGTCAAAGTATGGCAGCGCCGAAATCTGAAAATTGGCCTGGGCAGGAAGGGGGTAACAGTGCCTGGTAGGTAAGTGGTTACAGTGTTAAAGGCAGAATATTTTTTTTTTTCTAATATAACATGTTATAGTCATGTGCTCTGTGCAGCGGTATTGCACAGTGGCCCTGATCCTCTTCTTCGGTACCCCTGCTGGTGATCCTGGCCTCTTCTCTTAGTGTAACCCCATAGCAAGCCATTTGCTATGGGGACAAAAAACAGGGTTCGCTTCAGACCTGAGTCTATGGAACTGCACTTCAAAGACACCCTAGAGCATGACTTAGACACACACACACTTCCTCTTCTCTGTACTTGATTGACAGCAGCAAGGGCCAATGGCTCCTGCTGTTGTTCCAAGTCCCTGTGTGAACAGGAAGCAAGGGGAGAAGAAATGCAGCGTGCACAGCAGTGATCTCTTCTCCCCCTCTCCTCCCCTTCACACAAGAAAGGGAGAGCACATGGAACATTAAAACTTTTTACCTTAATGCAAGAAATGCATTAAGGCAAATAATGCTTAAGGTTTAGTATCACTTTAATCCTCAAAATTTGCATGATAGTTATACCTGAATGTTTTACATGCAACATTGGGTTAGACTTTGCAGAGGTATAAGTCATATCCAAGTCGAGTCAAAGTCGTAGGACTTGAGTCATACAAGTGTGAATGGAAATCTCTGGGTAACAGTATTTGGAAGTAGCAGTGCCATAATGTGCAATGATGGTACAATACTCTGCTCAACTTCTTGCCATACAAAGTATGAAGAAACCAAAAAGAGGGGGAAAAAAAACCAAAAAACCACTAAACATTACTTCACGAGGCAACAGAAATGGAAGTGGAGTTTTAGACCATTTGTGTTTCTTTTCAAAATGCAGAATACCACAAAAATAGCCCCAACTTTGTGGTGGCATGGCATTCATATCAGCCTCTCTCAACACACAGGAACCCTTGAAATACTTTCCAGTCTCAGGGAGCCCCTGCTAAAAATTGCTATATCTACAACTCATGATACATAAGTGTGATGGTCAGTAGGAAGAATGCTCCTTACACTTGTGGTCACTGGGAAGAATTATTCCCTTACAGATGACTAAAGATCAATGGTGGTAGTGGGAACTTATCTGAGAGGCAGAAATTGCTCAAGGAACCCCTAGCAATCTCTGGAGAAATCCTGGTCTATATGAAGGACCTGAATTTCACCATTCCCTGAAAATCACCATGTAGCTGTATGGCTAGTGTCTGGAATGTCCCCAGTATTTTATAGCCACTTAAAATTGTCTCTCTATGCAGAAAAAGCACAGGCCCAGTGCTGGGACACTTTTTCAGATCAGGCACCTACATTATTATTATACGGTATTTATAAAGCGCCAATAGTTCACTCAGCGCTGTACATTACAAAGGGGGGGTGACAGAACAATACAATACAATGCAAAACATGAGGGGATCGAGGGCCCTGCTCTTTCGAGCTTACAATCTAGGAGATGCAGTAGTAGAAGATTCATCTTGGCTTTCTAAACTGGCAGTGACATTACATTTGGGGACAAAGGCCGTACAGCTTGGAAAGGTAGGCATGTTATATATAGTATATTCTAATTGAAAAGGTTTACTAAAATCAGTCTGTATATGCAGTAAAGCATCCTGGTTATACTCACTGTGGGACCTAAGGGGTTAATCCTCCAGTGTGTGTAAAAAGGCTGTTTGATCCTGTCTTCTCTGATCTGCCCCTTCTTCCACAATCCCCAACCCAGCTGCCGATTGTACAGAGCAGCAGTGGCAAGTCTGCATATGATCAGTTGTGTGTGTATTGCTGGAGAGCACATTTCTTCTATGACCAGAGCTATTCAAGTCACCCGACTTCACACATTAGAGTGTGTATACAGATCCTAAGTGACCGCCCAGTCCCTCCCTCCTCCTCCATGCCCAGTAACTGATGTACACAGTGGGTGGGAAGTCACATCTTGATTGATGGAGGCACCACCTCCCATAAACGCATGTTGACACAGGCTTTAGTGGAGGGTGCATGGGATCGGCGCACAGCCTATCAGCACCGTCCAGATGGAAGGTCATGGGTCCTGCAGGCACTGCATGGAGGAAACTCAGAAAAAATAAAACTCCTCCAGCACTTGGCCAGACACAGAAACCAGTCACATGACTGCTGTGTACCGCTGCTGAGAAAAGTATTTAGCGGTTTCACTGTACTAAAATAAATGCATTACCATGTTTTATGTACTGTAGGAGACCTTATATTGTTAATTCAATGTCATGCGTTTAGTATCACCAACTCTAAAATGACATTAAGGGCTCATTTTTAACATGTGGCAGCTCTTTCCACTCTTTTCAGAATGCATTTAACAGGCAATATCTTGCCTCATCACCTATTTTAACCCTAAAAAGGCTGAACCACCATACCTATTGCATGCAGTTTGTGTGGTCGCATAGACAAATAGGTCACATAATGTGACATGTGGTTTGTTTGCCACAGGCACAAAATGTTGGCGCTGCATATCTTTCGTTGGGAGGAGGTGGCTGTAAAACCGTGGCTCTGCTATGTCCTTTTACCATTACCTGGCTGCCCATGAGAACTAGTCAAAAAACAAATGTGATCCATAAAGTTTGTTTTGATTCCAAGTGCTTTCAGAATGGTTATCAAATACCAAAACAATTCTAAAACATGGCTCTTATATTCAGACTATCCATACATCTCCACTGTTGCTGCAGACAAGGACCACATGCAAAATATTCTGCTTCGTTTTGGTATTTTCAGAGCAAGGAGTATAAATTTCTCTGCTGTGCTGTAAACCTACATCTTGTGAGGACCATAAAATGCTAGGGCAGTCCGGCTCACCCCATGAGCAGAATAAACCAATGACAGACATAGGTGTGAGCCCCTCAATGTGCTGGGAATTGGGAACAGCTTTCCCTGTTCAGTCCCAAGCTGCAATGAATGGAATCCTACAACAACCCTGCCAAATCAGATGCTATTTTGGTTGACTTGTCTGTAAAACTGAGTCTCAAACCCTTTTAAATTGTGCTAGCCATATAACAATGACATTTCCCCTCATTTACATTAATTCAGACAGAAGCATAAGTAGAAAAATGTTTTATTCACAAGCTCCAGGTACAATGTCTGACAGGCAGACTCTGGGTGCAATGCTTTCAAAAGGTCCATAAAAAAAATAAAAACAAATGAATCCATACTCACCAACATAGTACGCTGGATGAGAGGTCAAACATAAAAAAAAAAAAAAAAAAAAAAAAAAAAAAAAAAAAAAGTTTAAATAGCTGGCTTCAGTTGTTTGCAAAGCAAGCCTACCAGTTGCACCAAAACTCAGATCACTCTAAAGCTTGAGATCTTCCTGGCCTCCATCAGGCTACTTCTTGGCAAATGAAATCTTCATTGAATTGCTCTGTGTGATCTTGAATCCCTGTAGAGATTCTCGAGCAGCTCCGGCCTGAACTTCATTGTCAAACTCCACAAATGCGATATCGTGCCGTCCGGGAACTAAACGGACTTCCTTGAAGCCAGGGAACCTGTGGGGGGGGGGGAAAGAAAGTGTGAAAAGTCCACTTCAAAATCTCATGTTTTATGAAGAGTACATCGCTTCAAGAACTACAAAGGAGGTAAACATCTAAAGCAGTGTTTCTCAACCTTTTTTCAGTCAAATCACCCCTTACAATTATGGACAATCCCGGGGCACCCTTTACATTTCAGACAGTCATAAGACACCCCGTTCTAAAATGTGAACAACTATTCTAATAGTTTCATATAATGCAGCTACACCCACACATGTAGGAAACACAACACTAGAGGTGATTTATTCTTCCAATGCAAATACATTTTTTCACACTGGTAATGACTAGTATTCCATGGTTTCTCTTCTCCCTCTACATCACTGAGCTAAAGTGACAACAGCACTGATGGGAATGGGCAGGGGAGGGTCAAACTAGGATGCTGTGCAGGCAGCTGACATCCTCTATCAACTGATGATGTCACTGGTGTCAGGAAGCTGGCAGCTAGAAGGTTGTAATGGTGCACAATGATAACCTGCGGCTTTGTGTAACTAAAAGGCAGGCTTGTTCCACTCGCTGGTCTGTATACCAGTTTTGGGCAATATAGACATTTTGCAAAGGCACCCCTGAAGAAACCTCAAGGCACCCCAGGATGCCCAGGCACCCTGGCTGAGAAAGGCTGATCTAGAGGAATTCAGAGCATTGTATTTTAATCAAATGGACCATTAGCCAGTTTTAAAAACACATTAAAAACAACTATTTTATAAATACTATATCTATATATCCATCACCATTAAAAAGGATAAGGTCACCTTTGGGAACATGTTACACTTGTTCCCACTCTTGCAGCCACTCCCTGATCCCCTTCCCCTTTGGCAGCAGGCCGGGTATGATCTCCCAGCACCAGCGTTCGCTATTTGAAAAGAGTTGCTCAGCCCACTCGGCCGCACTATTGATTCCCAGAGTTCTGTGAATGAATGCACAAGTACCAACAGCCTTTGCAGCTGACAGGTTGTATTTCCCAATGAACTACCAGGGCGCTGTTGAGCACTCTAGGCAGTTATTTTTTTTCTTCCGGTCATTGTATAATTGCCTGCCCATAGGAGCAGACAGCTTACACTGACAGATACTATGGATGGAAAGATTTACAGGCAGCTCAAAAATAATTAGTAAATGCACATTTTTTGCCTGGAAAAAAAAAAAAAAAATATTTTTTTTTTATTTTTAAAAAAGGTGAACTTATCCTTAAATTTTGAAGGAGTACCCCAACACACAAAGTAAACAAAAAAAATGCACATCAGAATGCACAGATATATTCTGTGTTGCCCAGAAAGTATCATTGCATAATGAGGCTCATTAATTGCCCGCTCAATGCGAATGGCATTCTTAAAATAAGTTCACCTTCATAAACATGTTACATGTGTCACCCGCTTTTAGGGGGCTTGCTTTGGGGGCACTCAGCAGGAGAGAGCAGCCCCGAGCATTGGCTGGGACCCCAAGAGAAGGCTCAGGGATAGTCTGCGCAGAATAACTGCACAGAGCAAGTACATGGTTTATTTTTTGTTTTTAATTGCCTTTAATATCACTTTAAACAGATCTCAGGAGTTTACAATACTTACTGGTTGAAGAGCATAGAGAGCATCAACTCGTTGGTCTCTTCCGGGAGGTTGGTCAAGAAAAGAATGTGGTTTGGTGGGTTTTCGGATATCTGTGGAAGATGAATTTAGAGGCATTAGCCTTTTTAAACCTGCAGCTAAAGAGAGCTTACAATCTAAGGTCCCTAACCCACAACCATACATCCTTGAGGGCAGGGACTGATGTGAATGTACTCTGTGTGTAAATTGACGGTGCTATATAAAAAGTACCTATAATAAATATATAAACCAGGCGACACAAACAAATCTGCTCTATAAAAAACAAATGAACAAGGATGTTTATGACTCTCTTGTAACCTCTAAAATAAGTCTCATTTGAAGGTGAAGTATGCTTTACATAACGTAGATAACCTCATTTGCATGGATCATAAGCCACTTGTGGGCCAGCTCCCTGGGCAGCAGAGTTAAAGGGGCCAGAAGCAAGTCTCAAATTGTGATCAGTTTATTTTGTTTCCCTTTTCTTTGTCCCTCCCTTGTCTCTAGGACATCACATACTGCTTCATACAACACATTCTAACATATGCAAAAGGGAATCAAATCATTTAGATATGCCTACACAACAGGATATCCAAGACATTGCTATTTTATGGGACCGATAGGATTTCTCTAATCCCATCAGGATTAGCACTTACCGGCTGCATTGGTGCCATCTGTCCTGGCATCATCTGACCATGGGGCATGCCACCAGGTGGAATTTGACCAGGAGCAATACCTGGTGGTGGCATCATTCCAGGATGGTGCATGTATGGCGTCTGTCCAGGCATGTGCATCATACGAGGAGCCTGTGTCATTCCTGGGATGTTTGCCATACCCTAAAATCAAGGAACATTTATAAGCAACAGTCTGTGCTAGGCTACAGAGACAATGTCATTTACTAGGGTCACTTACTGGCATCTGCCCTGGCATGCCTTGAACAACAGGTGCTCCTGGAATGGCTTTCTTAGCGGCAGCAGCCTCTTGTCCCTTTCCTTTTCTCTTCTCCTGTCTCTTTCGATCTCTCTCCACAAAAGTACCTTTCATTTTGGCGATGATGTCGGAGTCACTCTTTGCATACTGTATTCTCTATGATTAGAAGTGAAGAAAAACTTGAATACATACAAAAATGTACGCACACATTCTCTCCTCAATTTCCAGACATTTTTTCTGTTGTGTCCTTCCGGGTACCAACCGTAACTTAGTAAGAAGTGTACATAAAACAGAGCATGCAGGAAAGTTTGAAAATACATGTGTTCTGCCTACCAAATTTTCCCATTCAATTACATTGTTAAACATTTGTTTACACTATTATACATCTGAAGTGTGTTTAACATATATCACACTATAGAGAGAATATAGCAATGGAAAGATATTCCCGACAACTTTTGGTCTACTATTAGACCCAATTCATACCCAACAGTGGGAACCCCACATTCGCACACACTTTTTTTGGTTCATTTTGTCACGCTGCCCATAGGGCAGCCTATTCACTTGAATAGGAAGCCCTAGGAGCGACAAAAACTTCAGAACTCATTCATTCGTGAAGCATCCTATGTTCTAAATGTGCTTTTGTCGCTGGGTAAAAACGCATGTCTGCCAACTGACTTTGGGGGTACCATTGATGAATGGCAACGCAAGCACAACACAGGTTTACAAGACGATTTTCACGTGCTTGCAAAACACAGCACAACACATTCCTTTGCATTTTGCCACACGTTCAGAAAACGCAAAAGTGTTAATGCAGCCTTAAATTTTCATAGAAGACTAATGTTACCCACAATGTTTGGAACAGTCACAACTAGAGCAATTCAATAATTTGAATATTTAAGAACCCATTTATAATCACAGTGGTATGGTCTCAGTTACACTTTGACTAGAAAGCAGACCAACCCTATTAACATGCCAATTTGTGACATAGAAGCCCTATACCAGGAAACAAAAAAGGATAGAATATACTAACCATTGGCTTATCATAAAAAGGGAATCCTTGCATTGACCTCAAGGCATTTGTTGCACTGCTAACTTCTTTAAAGATGACAAAAGCCTGCCCTCTCATCTTCAGATTGCGTGACACCAGGATGTCAAGGATCTGGCCAAACTGGGAGAAGATTGCATAGAGAGATTTCTTCAGCTCTAAAGAAAAAAAAAAAATTATTATTATTATACAGGATTTATATAGCGCCAACAGTTTGCTCAGCACTTTACAATATAATGGGAGACAATACAGCAACAATACAGTTCAATACAAGAGGGAAAGGAGAGCCTGATCCTGGGAGCTTACAATCTAGGAAGTTCAATACAAGAGGGTTAGGAGGGCCCGATCCTTGGAGCTTACAATCTAAGACTTATTGTATTACCAATACACATGCTAAGCAAAAAATTAGATTTTGTTGACTGTTTCAAACTAAAGCTGGCCATAGATGGATAGAAATTCAGCTGCTTCAGCAGGGACCAACCGAATTTCAATCTATGTGTGGCCTTCCCTGTTCGAAGTCAATTGTTAGATCAACTTCTGTCAAATAGGCCTGTTGAAAATGCTCTCTCAATCAGATGTCTGCAGCTGCTGATTAGAGAATACAATGTCTCGGAGAGGATTCTTCTATCCACCTCGCTTGTGCGGATGGAGGAATCCATATACAAGTGTACCTCGGTTAACGTAATTTCCGGTTTAAGAATGAAAATCATGCCTCCATTTACAAATTTTTTTTTTCCGCAATACAAAGTGTATGTCGGTGTCGATTTTTAAATGCAATTGCCGGCTTTTTTTTCTTCACTATAGCTCACAGAATTAGTTGTCACTTTCCCCGGAGTTAAAGGAAACTTTGTTTATTTTAAGAAACTAAAAACGAAAGTTTCTTTTAACTTGGGGAAATAAACTAAAAGAAAACGCTCGCTCGTCCATCCCCCCCCCACCCTCCTTTCCTGACCTGCCAGGCTGCATGCTCAGATAAGGGTCTGGTATGGATTTTGGGGGGACCCCCACGCCATTTTTTTTTTTTTTAATTTTGGCGTTGGAGTTTCCTTTAAAATCCATACTAGACTCAAAGGGTGTGGTATGGATGGGAGAGGGGACCCCACACCATTTATTTTTTTTTAATTGCCGGCAATTCTTTTACCTTCAGCTGTCAGTGGGGAACCCCGCTAACAGCTGAAACATTAACACATGGTTGTCACTATGAAAATGCCGCATGACTTGATAAAATAACTCATGCGGTATTTTAGTAGCATTTACTTTTTTCTGACCTCCAGAACGGATTAATTGGTTTTCAATGCATTCCTATGGGAAACGGACTTTTGGTTCACAAATTTTTTCGCTATACGAAAAATCCCACAGAACAAATTAAATTCGTAAACCGAGGTATGCCTGTATTCTTTTTCATTCCACCTCTTGGCTGAGCAAAACACAAATCATCTATGGTCAGCTTAAATTTCCCCAAACAAAACAACGCATATAAAGGCAGCAATACTTACCACTACCACCCCTGTACTACTGAACGCTACATTAATCCAGAGATCACCAGCTTTAGTGCTCTACAGGAACTGACACTTCTGAAAGTGCATCTCTTGGTCCCCCATAGTGCCCACCATTTCCTCTCACTGACCTCCATGTTCCTACTGTATCCTGTAGTGACAGATGTCAGCAGGATGGACCAGTAAGTGCTACAGGGTACTTGGGACAAATGTTGGTCCCTGCAGCAGACTTCAGCCACAGATGTTTGTTTGGCACCAGGAGAGGCAAGTATTCTATTACCCTTCAGAGCGACAGCACACTTGCAAAAATTAATTTAGCAACAGGGTCGCTTTAAAGCAGTGGTTCTCAACCTGTGGAACTACAAGACCCACATTTGTCCTTGGTCATTAAGTAGAGACCCCCCCACCCAAAAAAAAATTAAATTTCCGAAAAATTATAATTTTTTCAACAAAAAATAACTTGCGCAGTGTTCTACAGCGAGTGAGGAGAGCCGGTAAGCTGTACTTCCCAGCACAGAGCCCGCCCCACCACGTCAATGTCACTCACAAAGCACGCACATAGCGTCCCCATCGCCTAGCAACCGAGCCGCTCAGGGTATAGAAGGCTGTTGTGCCAAGTACGTCATTCTACTAGTGTTCTCCGAGGAGACAAGACATGGAGTTGTAGTGTCCTCCTGTATGGGAGGTGGCCTCAGGGAGGGCCGGCCATGGCTCAGCAGCTAGGATATTGTAGCCATTCATCTCCGAGAGCAGCACAGCCTCACATTTCCTCATTATAACACAGCTCTTCCCCGGGTAGCAGAATGTGCAGCTCATGACATTCCGGATCGCTGCAGCTACAGTGCCGATCATCCGGAACACACGGGGAAGAAGGGTAGATTTAATGGGCGGCGGAAGATCGGGTTGAGTGGGGACAGAGACATGTCATCTCTATGATGGGGGGGGGGCGTAACTGCATGTGGGCGGACCCGCCTGGAGACGGATAGAGGAGCGGTGTCTCGGTTCCTAAGACCATCGGAAATATATGTGTTTTCCAATGGTCTTAGGCGACCCCTGTGAAAGGGTCATTCGACCCCCCAAAGGGGTCACGACCCAGAGGTTGAGAACCACTGCTTTAAAGGGTCAGTGCACCCAGAAGTGACGAGTTTTGTAGAGGCTGGAGACAAAACTACCCAATCATTTCATATCTGTCATAGATTCTGTTGACTAGATGTCTACATTTCAGTTTCTGTAGACCTGCCATGGCCTTTCAGATGATAAAAAAACAAAATGAAGGATTGCAATAGCAGGGAAGGAATACCCAGAACTCCAAAGATAAACAGATGAGCTCAGAACTACGGCAGGAAAATGTGACCACTGAGTACCCAAGTGACTTCACTTATAACTAAGCTTGACTTTTAGGTCAACACATTAAAAAGAAGAAGTTTACAACATGAGAATCACCTACAGATGCTGAGCTATAAAGGCTTACCATCCTTCTTTATCTTTTCATTGAGGTTGTTGATGTAGATGGTGTTGTTTGGTCTGCTTTCCTGGACAGCCATTTCAAAAAGTAGTCTAGAGAAAGAGGTAACATAAAAAAAATAAAAATTATACAGCACGTGATCCCTGCAAGGAGAGGTCAGAAAGCCGCTTCACAGGTCTGGGGATTCGAAATCCCCACGGCTTTCCCTCCTCTCCTTGCAGGGATGACAATCCGGGCTTCTGACTGGTCAGCACTGACTCGGTGTGGACGTTCCCCGCACAGCTCCTGTGTGAACTAGGGCTAGGACAAGCCTGGGTTCACACAGGAGCAGTGGGAAAGCCACATGAGATTTGGACAGAAATCATATTCCTGATTAACCTTCCTAGTGGTCTGATTATGTCCATATTTCTGTGCTCAAAGCGGTATATTTTTTTGCATGGAAAGATTTTTTTTAAAGTCTTTTTTTATTGTAGGCCTGTAATTTTTAGGAATAACTTACTGAAATCTGTCTGAACAAGAGTAGAAAACATCCCGGGTATGATAAAATGTGAAACACAATATCATAAATTATAATTTAATAAATACTCAAAAAAAAATACATTTAATTCAATAAGATAATCAAACCAAAAACACTGAAATGTGAAATATAGCGCCAAGTTCGCACATCGCCGAGCAAAGTCGCAGAATCGTTTTCAGTGTCTGATGACGAATTTCCCCACGAATCATTATCACTCAATTCTGCAAGTGGTTCTGATTTACTATCGCTGTTTTCTAGCCGGTCTAAAACCGCTTTTGACCTAAAGGGATGCTTTTTGGACGCCATGGACATTTCTCAGTTTCCAGGCAGAAAGAACAGTAAAAATGCAGGCAGGGCGCAGGACAAAGCACTCGGGACAAAATGTATGTGAAATGGTTTGATACAGGAATGTTTACTATGTGATTTTAGTTTATTAGAAAATGTTGATTTTTAAAATTTTCCGCCGTTCCTGCCCCCGTACGTCCTGAGGCTCACAGTGACCAGAACACGCAAGACAGATGCCGACATCGGCCGGGGACGCATCGCGGGAGCGCAGGACAAGTTAAGCGCTGCAGTGTAATCCCGAGTGTAGCTCAGGGTTACCGCTTGTGGTACTAAAACTTTACCCCGAGCTACACTCGGGAATACTGCCAGGGAGGTTAAACCGAATGTTATTCTCAATGGTGCAATTTGCATCCATACATTTTTTTTACGCAAATCCCACCTCTTCTTTTAGGTTTGTATCCAGTGTACATTGCACAAGCAACTGTTGGACCCCATTCACACCACTGCTTTGCAGTTGTTGCATGACAGCATAGGGCAGCCTGTCCATTTGCAAGGGGCTGCTCTATGTGCACCAGCAGAAGCTCCAGGACCTGAGCTTTGGCCTAGTCAGGAAGGGGGGGGGGTAAATCCTCTGGAGGACAAGGGGTTAATGACACCCCAACACATATTGCAAAGTGTAACGTGGCTGTCAGAGATCCAAGTGCACATGAAACTAAGGGTCCTGCACTATATCGGTGCGGATGCGATCTGAGCGATTTGATTTGAACCATACAAAATGTCTGACCCAAAACGCACCGCACAGACATCCGCATAGAATTCTCACAGACATGCGGTGCGATTCCTGTGACATACATGCGGCGTCCCGCACCACACAGTGAGCCTGGGATACAACCGAACACATATTACTGACACAGGTTCCGGGGCTGATGGAGGCCGCCATGAAACGAACGTGGTGCCTTACCTCAGCCCCGGAAGCTGTGTGTATAATAACGTGTTCGGTTGTAAGGGACGGCCTGGCAAAACGTCTCCCCTGCACCGGCGTATACTCTGCCCGTAGGACAGCCTGAACTCCGGACGGTCTATGCAGTGGGAGTGAGCCCACCGAGGAGAGGTGACAGGGAACACCACACACAGTTCCTTACCACAGGGCACAATGGTGGAGTCCGGGCGGAAAGACACGAAGCACGCTCTACTCGAACAATTTCTCCTTCACTACAGGCCGCAGCCTACACCTCGCGATACTATACCGTGTCCCCGCCCCACGTGCTTACAGAGATGTATGGTTGGTTTGGAGTAGTCTCGCCTTATGATAGGCGTCTTCTACGTCCAATGAGAATGGAGCGAATTGCCAATCAACAGGCCAACCAACGCCGGAAACCGTAGCAGCGAATTCCTTCCCCTCGGAAACAAGAGTCGGCGTTCTGGTGTAAAACGTGACTGTTCATTCATTGTTACTGGTATGGTCTGTGGGGCGAGAGCGGCTGTGGTGTAATTCCCGCTCTCTCCGTTAGGGGCGGCCATGACAGGGCGGGGTGTTTTCTTGCTGAGACCTCTCAGCTTGTTGAGGGTGGAGGAAGAGTGTGTTACCCATAGCAACAGTGTGTTACCCATAGCAGGGTAGATTTGAGAGCAGATTCACAGAGGAAGGGAGATTCGAGGAGAGGAGATTCAAGAAGAACAGAGGAGATTGGAGGAGAGGAAGGGAGATTCAAGAAGAGGAGATTCAGGGAGATTCAAGGGGAGGAGATTTAGGGAGAGGAAGGGAGATTTGAGATGCGCAGAGGAGATTAGAGGAGAGGAAGGTAGATGCAAGAGGAGGTTCAAGGAGAGGAAGGGAGATTCAAGGAGAGGAGATTCAGGGAGAGGAAGGGAGATTCAAGGAGAGGAGATTAGAGGAGAGGAAGGGAGATTCGAGAAGAGCAGAGGAGATTCGAGGAGAGGACAGTAGATTCAAGAAGTGGAGATTCATGGAGAGGAAGGGAGATTCAAGGAGGGGAGATTTGACGAGAGGAAGGGAGATTCAAGAAGAGGAGAGGATATTCGAGGAGAGGAAGGGAGATTCGAGGAGAGGAAGGGGGATTCAAGGAGAAGGGAGATTCAAGGAGAGGAAGGGAGATTCGAGAAGAGTAGAGGAGATTCGAGAAGAGGAAGGTAGATTCGAGGAGATTCAGGGAGAGGAAGGTAGATTCGAGGAGAGGAGATTCAGGGAGAGAAAGTTAGATTCAAGGAGAGGAAGGGAGATTCAAGAAGAGGAGATTCGAGGAGCGGAAGGGAGGTGAGGAGAGGAAGGGAGATTCGAGAAGAGCAGAGGAGATTCGAGGAGAGGAAGGTAGATTCAAGAAGAGGAGATTAAAGAAGAGGAGATTCAAGGAGAGGAAGGGAGATTTGAGGAGAGGCTTCAACTATTTAATCATTATTTCTACTATTTTTATTAGAGCAGATTTATACAGAATATAAGGTCTCTGCATTGTCAGATCACTGATGAGAGAGACGACTTACCTGAACTACCTACCCATTACATCCAGCCACCCCGTCCATCACCCCAACTCTGACCTGTGACCCCCTCCATCACCCCAACTCTGACCTGTGACCCCCTCCATCGCCCCAACTCTGACCTGTGACCCCCTCCATCACCCCAACTCTGGCCTGTGACTCCCTCCATCACCCCAACTCTGACCTGTTACCCCCTCCATCACCCCAACTCTGACCTGTTACCCCCTCCATCACCCCAGCTCTCACCTATCCTGACCCCTTCATCACCCCTATCCTGAACTACCCTGACATGTACCCCCCCATCACTCCAACCTTGACCTGTGACTCCAATCCTAACCTGAGACCCCCTATTCATCACATCAATCATAACCTGCACCCCCTCTATCACCCCAACCTTGGCCTATCCTAATCTGTGACCATTCCATCACACCTAACTTGTACCCCCATCCATCACTCCAACTCTAACCTATACTCCCATCCATCACGGCAATCTGCATCCCATCCATTATCCCAACCCTGACCTGCACCCCCTTCATCACCCCAACTGTGACTTGTGACCCTTCAATCACACCTAACATGTACACCCATCCATCACCCCAATCCTAACCTGCACCCCCTCCATCACTCCAACCCTAATCTGCACCCATACATCATTCCAACCCTGACCTGCGACCCTTCAATCACACCTAAACTGTACAGCCATCCATCACCCCCAATCCTAACCTGCACCCATCCATCAGCCCAACCCTGACCTGTGACCCTTTCATCACACCTAACCTGTACCCCCATCCATCTACCAATTCCTAACATGCACTCCCATTCATCACACAGACACTAACCTGTACCCCTTCCATCACAAATACCATAACCTACAACCCCCATCTATTACCCCAACCCTGTTTTTTTTAATCCCCATCCATCGCCCCAATCCTAACTTGTATCCCCCATCCATCTCATTAATCTTTCCTGTAACCACCACCAATCACACAAAAAAATCCAACTGTTACCCTCTTTCTCCGTATATCCCTGACCCTCATGCTCCTCTGTAACCCCCCATCTTCCCTGAGACCTTGACCCTACCAATGCTGCCTTAAATCTCCATCCATCACACTAAGTCCCCCTATAACTCCAAGTCTTCCATGTAACCCCGACCCTCATACTAACTCTTCCTGCATCCCTGGCCTTCACAACAACCTTCCCCGTAACTCCAGTCATCCCACTATCCTTCCTGTTACCCCCACAATATTTAAACTAAACCTCTCTGTGCTGAAGACCAACATCTTCTACACCCCAAAGATACCAAACCTGGAACCAACTGTTGAGTTGTTTTTGTACTGTTTACATTTATTAGATGGTTCAATCAGATTGAAATGCATGGTGGTGGTGAGATGATCATACGTGAATAGGTGCTGTCCCATCATCCAACCACCACTTCATGTCTATGTAACAGACCTAAGGTGATCAAAGCATCTCCATCTGAATCTTGTCTGAGCTGGTGGTCAATGGAGTTGTTTTGGGGACTGAAACGGTGAGATCTCCCCAGGTTTTGAGCCCTCCCCACACCTTTCCATCTATCCTTTCTACCCACCCAACCCACGCCCTGTTCTTCCACATGAAAGCGCTGAGCAAACCCTTTGGCGCTATATAAATACTGTATAATAATGACCCTACTGTAAACTCCCACAACAATAGACAGACAATTCTCCCTATAACACTACATCCTCACAATATACAGTAACCCCTATTAACATGGACTACATCATCGCATCACCACTAAATTTGTA